GCGCTTAATTTTTATGCGTGTTCATTTGTCGGTCTCGATCATCCGTTGGACCAAAGACTGATCGACATTAAATCTAAGGAGGTTTAAATCCCGTTAACATGTCAGTGTTAGGCTCTTAATTTTTAGAGAGTATTCATGTGCGCAATCACATGCGTCAATGACCTTATAAGATGAATGCATCATTGTTGGAACAGTTTTTGCATGGTACCCTCGTCCTTATCTCGCTTTTCATACCTTCGTGTATTTGAATGGCAGCATTGAAAATTTAGCTTTAAAATATTTCAGATATGTCTTATTCTTGCACTGTCAAAGATTATACTTATGACATGCATAAGTCGAACGTAATTACTTTTCTGATTCTTATGTTGATAGCGCAAAAGAATTATGTCTTTCTGTAATGAAAGATATTTTTAAGATATGCTGTTTATGACTTTTTGCTGTCAACTATAAAATCAAATTAGATGGCATATCAACATTCCTTGACGCAACCGTAATTGCCGCAATCCCCCTCGCGGATGTCTGCCGTTCTTTGCATATCGTGAGTTTAAACACCGTAGCTCAGAGCACAATAGCGTAATGGACGTGATAGCAAGATGATGCCTGTGAAGCAGTTAGGTTCAACCTGTTCTTGGGTAGTCGGTACCCAGTTAATTAGGAAAGATCAGCCGATAGATTGCAACGGACGACCATGGAAGATGGCAAATATTTCTAAGCCATGTATCTTTCCGAACGCCTGTCATTTACCTTTAGCGAAGATGTTTCTTCCTGTATCCTGGCAATATTGTCGCAGTCATATTGATTAACGTTGATTCAAGAAGAGTGCTTTAAATTCTTTTTGACACATCGACAAGTTTCCCTATTTTGCCGGAAATAATGAATTGAATTTTTGTTAATGCTAAATCATAATATGCGGATGTCCAGATTTCAGCAGGGCGTATATTTCGCTTCATCATGAATTCTACGAATTTGAAATATCACTTAGCAACAAAATCATGAAACATTTCTATTCTTCAGTAAAATCTTTTGAATCGTAAATAAAAAACGACCATATTCATTGGGCATGATTCCGCTGTGGCAGTTGTTTGCTCCATTTTAACTGACGACTTAGGAATTCGTCTAACTGCCATCCCCTTGGGTGGAATGGAATTGCCTCGTGTACCTCAATCAATATGATTTATTTCTGATCAGAATGTGGATGTCTTCATTCTTCTGTGACACTTTTTGCTAACTCCAGTAAGCGGAACTCCGTTTGATGTGTTAGCGCCACGTATGAATCGAGTTTACGCACAGTTGATTGCAAGGCCTATTCAGTTTATACTACTCAGGAACTTAGCTGACGGTCAATTTGGTTCCTGGTTCAACTAATTCTTGTTTGAACGCCAGCTCTAGTTAACTAACTGACATCTATATAGTGGTCTTTTATTGATCGCTTCAACACGTTATCCCTTTTGTAAGGCAGTCATACTGATAGTGTATTTCAGTCACACTGAACTTTTATCAGTAGTGGGGATTCCGTTATCTAAGCAGATTAATAAAGTTCCGCACAGCGGTGGTACTTATACACCGACTAGATGTAAATTTGAGACTTATATCGTCGAGTGGTTATCCACTTTTTATTCTAATTTACATACTGATCGTTTTCTTCCTTATTGCAAAATGGAATTCGTGGCATAAACGTAACAATGGTCAGATCTTACAAATACAATTATCAGGGAAAAAAATTCAAACAAAAATTTTCATTCATTCACATATGTGCAATGTTGTCGCTGATATTATCCAGGATTGGCAGTTGCTACACATTCCCTGAATTTTAATTAATGTATTTAAATAACGGAAGAACGCCATAGCTTTCTTTGCTCGACCGAATAAACCCGCGAATAATCAAGAATTTCCTGGAGCAAGTGCCTCGACAAATTAGATTCAGGATGTTTTCTGTCGAAACTGGATCGCTCACACAATTTTGGAAGCTCTGTCTGACGTGTCTATTTCATTGACTAAAAGTGATGTGGGCATCAAAATTTACTGACTGATCAAATTATAGGCAAAAAAGGCTAAATTTAGCAAATCCAAATAACTATCTTCTAAATCTCCATTGAAACGTAGTTTTACGAACACTCAATACTTTGATCCTCTTCAAATTTAAACAGTTCACTGCCTGTAGGCGCGTTTGAGAATTGCGTAAATGCTAAAAGTAGCTCCTTGAGTGAATCGTGCTTATCACGAAGAATATACCATTTTCCGCAGCAGTGAATATTGCATAATATCATACTGAATTGTCACTTTTCACATTTGCACATCGCAAATCTAGTATATTTTTTTCAGATAAGGATGACCAAACAATAACTACTTCTATTTTGTTCATTGCTCATCATCCTCCGGACTTAACGGATGGAGCACACTAAATGATATTATAACAAATTAACTAAGGAATGATGTAAAATACCAGTCTAAATTTAGTGAAACTTTGTGAGCTTTATTTATAAATTTTTTGCTAAATACCACTGAAATTTACTTTAAAAGACAAGTATATTGATAGGTACAATATGTACTGTTTTATTCTCTCGTACATTTCAAATATTCTATCAAAAATGCGCAAATTTGCTATAAGTCAACATAACCTGTGAATCGCACACATTAACAGAAACTCTTATATGCCTAGTCTAGATCGTATAGATATTGGCATTTGCCGCTGGTTACTTTAAATATGGCTACCTCAGTTCCAGGGTTTAAAAGTAATCGACGTCGAGCCGTCGCACAGGCGATACGATGGTACTTCGACGTTGCAAACGCAGATGTCGTTCCGTTCGAAGATCTGTTCGTCGCGGTTCGAAAGGCTTGCAACGTCGGGGTACGATACCTGAATAATCGGCGCTTATTCGCTGATATGATCGATGCTTGGCGATCCCGCGAGTTCATCCTGGAAAACCGAACAGCTTCTCATTCTCTTGCCGTCCGTTGGAACCGCCGGCACTACCACTACTATGCTGGACGAAACGGTGCCGGCGATGATGTGGCGCTTCCTACCGAAATGCCTGCCATTATGGAAGAATCGCCAACGTCCTACGATCTCAGATTGGAGTGCCTAGCAGAACGCGCCATCTTCACAACGTTTAAAACATATAAAGACGATCTGATGCATATTTCGGATCTCTTCCACTCGTTGTTACCTCCGTAAGTATTGAAAATGTTTTTGATTATGAATGTTCGTTTTGAGTTTACGCTGCTCCAAGTTTTCGATTCAGTCGTTTTAAATGGTTGATGCTATGAAATGTTCATTACACAGTTGTCATGGTTAAAGCTATACAACAGCGTCATTCTTCCTAATGAAAAATTGAGTAATACAATTCTATAGCGTCAGCCTTTGTTTTGAACCCAAAACCATTGAATTGGAAACCTAAAAAATTAGATTTTAATTATTTGACTTTTATTCCATTACTTCGATGCCACCATAGACTGTTGCTTGCAAAAGGTGGAAATATTTTCTACTTTCGTGAGACAAAATTGAGTGATTATTTTGTGCATTTGGTATTATTTAATTATTTTTAGACCTGCAGCACTTGAGGCTGCAACACATTTTAGCCTCTTGGAATAAAGCGTTCACTTTTTCATAGTATTTTCTATCCCTCGAATCGAGAGTAGTATCTGATAGGCTCTGCCAAAAGGAGATTTGAGTTCTTTGAATGAATGGTAAAAATGGACATGATTAACAGCATTTTTTGGCTTGGACTGTTGTTGGTAATTATGGATAAAATTTTTTCGGTTACGCTGCCCTTTATTTTAACCTATAATTTCAACAGTTATCATTCATCTTTATCTTCCATGGCTCTTCTGCTTTCGGATTGCTGAGGCAGGCGCGTTAGACAGCTTCCAGTTTTCCCGATCCTACGCCAGAAGTCTGAGCTTCTACATAAGACAGCTGGAGGCTGGAACAGACTCCTTCCATGTATTTGTACCAGGTTAATCTTGGCAGTCCCCTGGGCTTTCTGCCGGTCGGATTCGCAAGGAGCAGTTGCTTAGCCTTTCTTTTTCTAGGCATTCGCAACACATGCCTAAGCCATCGCAGCTGTGACTTCTCGACCTGGAGAAGC